AAAAAAAAAAAAATCGAGAACTCGAGCCCACCTTGAAGACAGATGAAAGACAGGTCATACTATACCAGTAAAAAACCAATGAAAAGCAGCTTGTGGGGTGTGTGTTTTTCTGGAGTTTTGTACTTGTCTTATTCTCTCAAATGCTTTATTCAATTTTTTCTTTCCTCTGTTGTGTGTTTGTTTTTGTGCAGGAAAAAAAAAAAGGTGAATATGAAAGCTCAATGTGTGCACTGAAAATAACTAAACCAAGAAAAGGAATCTGCATTTGTCTTCATAAAGTTTGTGCTACAGCCAAAAGGACAACTACTCAATGACTGGCTTGTTGTGAGAGCTTGTAAAATAGTTATGGGCTCCCTTTTTGGCTGTTCACATTCCATACTTTATGTATATTGTCACAGGAAAGAAATAATACTTCTCATCTGCAAGCAGTGTTTTCGGACCTGGCCCGGTCCGGAGGGTCGACCGAGAACATAATCAACCTGGCGAGTCCGAGCCAATTCGGGCATCTGCACTGTTTAGCAGTAGGCCCAGCTATGGTAAATATTTATAATGAGGGACAGTAATATAGTGACTTTGAGGCATAAAATTTACATGTAAATTGTTTATTTTTATATTTGTATTCTAAAATGTTAAAATGAATATTTATTTATAAGAAAAGAGTCTGCAAGGCCAGAAATACAGTATCCGGCGAAGCTATCGGCTTTGAAAACGTTGCCTCCAAGAATAGATATGTATTTTTTCGTTGGAGATTGTATTTCCGGCCTTGCAAACCATTTTCATGTTATCATTCCAATCTTCCAAAGATGTAGGAGTTGATCCAAGATATAGTATAAGCATACCTCATCAAGAATGATTAGAATCACATAGGTTAAAGTCTTTTGCTTTGTGATCCTCACTTATCATGCATAATCATACAAATAATTGACTAAAGTTCCAAAACTATGGACTCCAAACATCACAGTTAGGGAGGCAATCACCCACCACACAATTGTAAAAACTGACAGCAATTTGCATGCATACAATTTACATCAAAATAAATCAAAATATCAAGTTCCAAGCTCCAAGTGTTTTACCGACAGCAAAACTCAGTCGAGCAATATCGAATGTATAATAAGTACTTCATCAGTTCATCTTATACACTTGACACTGATAGTATAACGTTGTAAATGAAAATACGATGTAAAGTCAGAAGTCCTATACACGACATATCACGATTTTGAGAGACTATTTCCTAAATTGTTCTCTAGAATAACCATTCAGCTAAGCTGTTTCAAGTTGCCGTATGCCTTCGGAAGACCAACAATCGACCGATATTTTTCATTTAAACAGAAGATAAGCACAAAGACATTCTAATCAGTCCCCATAAAACAGAGCCTTCGTAGAGCACAGCAGCAAACCACAAAAGTAACAAACCGCAATTGTTCAACACTTTACTTTTCTTTCTTTAATTCTCTTCAGCTTTCCAATTCAGCTGTGTCGACTTGAGCTCGATTGCATAAACATAGGCTACTCATTCAGCCTCGGAAACCTAAACAAAGTACCAGAAATTAGTCTCAGCAGTCATAGAGAATGCCATTTACGCATGTGTAATTTAACATTCGGTAATATATGGAAACAAAGCAGACCAAAGCTACAGGGATTCTTTTTATATAGCCTATGGTGCCTAATATTTTCATGTGGCAATACAGTTACTATTCAAGCATCATCAGAGTTCTTTGCTTTTTCGGTTGAAACACCAAAAAATCAAATTGTATGTACACACACATATGCGTGTGTGTCTAACAGCTAAATAAAAATGATAAATTTTGAACAACCTAAACGCAACTAAGGCACATCCAGTCATTTATATCGCTGTTGTTAGAGCTTAGGGTCCAAAGATGGGTCATAATCCAAAAACAAAAGTCTAGACTCGACAACTAACTTGGTAATTAATTAGTGAATCGAAAATATTCTCAATTTGCTGTCGCGTTGAAAAATTGCATTAACAAACGCCCAACATGCACAAATGCAAGCTAGGAGGGTTTCTCAAGCATAAAGTAAAACCTAACCCAATTATACCAGAAAGAATCTGATTCTCTTCCTTAGGAGGAAGTCCAAATTAAAAGAAAATCAGTTTGGACATTCTATAATATTTCCGAAAACCTCCACAAGAATATATAAATGTGCTGAACATATTTATCAATCCACTACCAAAAGTAGCAACATATACCAAAAAAACAAGGCTTCAAAAACAGTTAACTAAGATTCCATGGCTGGAAAAGCTCATCAGGAGGTGCCTACATACGAGGAATTTGAACCATTATGCCAATGGCAACGTAATAAAGATAGAGACATTCTTGAGATCCATCTTCAAGGTGAATATATACATGCATTCATCGTCCAATATTCAGTTCTAGCCTTGACCATCATATGATTTATTTTTCCTTACAAATATGCTTGATTTCTTGTCTTCATGCGGCCAAATTTGAACACTTGTTCATATGAAAAAATATGGTTTCCCATTATTACGAAAATCTTCCCTCAATTTAAAAAAAAAAAGAAAAATAATCTTTATCTACTCTTTCAAGAAAAAATAAATCTCGCCCCCATAACGGTTCATTTTCGGATTCTGTCCCTCTCCTTGTTCTTCTAGTTAGGATTCTTGCTATGAACTTTTGAATGCAAATTGAACATTTTGAATAAAGAAAATAATAGAAAAGCCAAAAGGTGCCTTATATCCGAGCTTATGATGGCAAATAATTAAACTTTCGGAAGTTTTTCTAGTTTCTCTAGCCGATTAACTCACATAATTTCCTAAAAAAAAGGGTGAAATACTTTTTCTCATCTGAACTATCACGGTTTTGGCGCATCACCACATAAATTATTTTTTTTTTCACAAACCACCATATGAACTAATACGGGTTTGTCAATATGCCCCCTAAACCGGATATAAAAGTGGTTTAGGGGGCACATTGACAAACTTGTGATAGTTCATATGGTGGTTTGTAAAATTATTTAGGGGCACATATGGTGACCAAACAACTTTTTCAGTCAAAACCACTTTTATATCTGGTTTGGGGCACATTGACAAACCGTATAGTTCATGTGGTGGTTTGTTAAATAAAATAGTTTATATGGTGATGCGCCAAAACCGTGATAGTTCGGATGGGAAAAAGTATTTTACCCAAANNNNAAAAAAAAAAAAAAAAAAAAAAAACAGCCATTAACTTCAATAGGTTAATCTCTATCCTTAATCCAAAACCATATAATTGCGAGTTTCTTAAAATAAAATAAAATAAAATAAAATAAAAAACCATGAAATGGACCAAAAATAAAAGGTACATAAAACAATTGCAGCAAAAATCCAAACTTTGGCCATAACATCTCTACTTGCCTTTGTTTTTTCTCCAAGGTTTCAGAAAGGATTAGCTTAGAGTAAAAACCTGCAAAAAAACCATACAAATGCAAGTATTTACCAATCGAAAACCAACATAACTCATCAAATGAACCAAAAACAAAAGTCACATAAACAAAATTGCAGCAAAATTCCAAACTTCAGCCATAAACATCTTTACTTGCCTTTGCCCTTTCCCCAAGGTTTCAAAAAGGACCAGCTCAGAGTACAGATCAGCAACCATGGCGTCCTCAAAATCTCCGGCGAGCGTCCGGTGGACACGTCATCCAAATCCAGATTCCACAAGGAAGTCCCCGCTCCCAGCAGCACCTACGACGCCCAATCGATCCAGGCGAAGTTCACCAACGGCCACCTCTACATCACCATGCCCAAAATCAACCACGAACCCGACGACCCCAAGGTCCCGCCGCCGTCCGAGCCGGCCGAAGCAGATCGGACCCCGAAACCGGAATCCGCCGCACCTGATCGATCTACGGCAGACCCACCAACTCCTGCGTCGAATGAATCCGGGAAGACGCCGGGTTTCACGAAGCTGGCGGTGGGCCTGGCCGCCGCGGCCGTCATCCTGGCGGCGGTGGTTGCTTGGGTTGTCTATATGCAACGATCGTCGGCTGGTAGGATTGATTGGGTGAAATCGGAGTTTTAAGCTGCGATTATGTGCAGAAATTATGTAATCAATCCATGTGTTCTTTATTTCGATTAGGTCTGATGATGAAACTCGTCATGAGTGTAACATATGGCGGCCATGTTTATGTTTTTAGACCGGTAAAAATGCAAATAAATAATTAAAATAGTACGCCATGTTAAAAATGACGTGGATAAAAATGTTATTTATTATTTTAAATTATTTAATATATTAGTTCAAAAATAATTTTTTTAGTTAACTAAGATTAATTAGTACATACCTGTCCGTATGGTGCACGAGACAAATATATTAAATGAATTATTTTCACATATTCAGTTAATTTAAGTTTAAAAAATAATAGGTTTGTCATCTATTTTTCACTTCTTTTAATCAGCTTTGTTTTTTAACAAGAATATTAAATATGAGCTTGTTAGTGTTAACTTATAAAATAATTGATGTATTATCTCACTAACAAATTTATAGTAATATAAATTTCATTTTAGTATACATATTTATTCCATGATATAAAAGAAAATAATAGTTTTACTTATTTTTGTTCACCATATAATACTTAACTAGTACATGGTCCGTGCGACGCACGAGGCTATATTATAAAAGCAATGAAATCTTGATTAGTATAAAAATAGACATTAATGTTATTTTTTTTTTTCTTTTATTTTTTTTTTATATATAATAATATAATATATGACTTATATGTTTTTTTCGCTCGTTATAAAATAGTTGTCATTTTAGAGTTATTGATTATAATTAAGCATAATAAAAAGTTAACATATTTAATCATTATCAATACATATTACTCACAAGATCTCTCTCTCTCTCTCTCTCTCTC